ACACACACACACACACACACACACACACACACACACACACACACACAAAACACGAAAAACAAAACAAAATTGCAACAATTGTTGCATGAAAAATTGGCTATTTGTAAAATGTCATGACAACCTGTCACAAACAGCGAAGAATGAATAAAGATTTTCTATTTTATTTTCGTTTGTCTGATTGACGAACTCCACATTCACCTCCACTCTAAATCCATCCTCCGAAAATTAACAAGTTCAAAGGCGCGATGGCAAGACGACACGTGTTGTGTCATTACGTCGTGCGGTATTTCTAGAAAAAACATAATCAACTGGGTAACGAAAATGGCAGTGAAAACGTAAACACAGGGGCTATATAGAGAACTAGGAGAGAATGATTTACGAAAGTTTTGGTTGGCACGAGTTGCGGTAATGACGCTATTTCTGGATTTATCTGTAGATCAAAATATCTCTTTTTTTTTAAATAAAAAAAATTCCATTGGATCAGGTCACGGCTTCGGACTGATTTTTAGAATCCAAGGGTAGTTTTCTATTAATAAGTGACACGATTTCTCCGCTATTTTTTCGCCGCAACGATGAATTCTTGTTCACAAAATCTCCATCGGATATTAAACTAGAGCACATAAAAACATTTTTCCGTGGTATTGCGAGATTGGTGAGTCACCCTTGGACTCCAGAATTAGCGTCTACCGAAGGGAAACGTCATACGAAGTGGAATTTGGCGGAGAAGTGGAAAATAAAGTGGACGAGATCAAAATAGCCGATGAATAACCAGAAAAATTATCCTCTCGTAACTGCGAAAGAACTCCCTACTGTTCTCCACAAAACAATGAACCTTTCTCCACTGAAATTACCCCCAGAAATTCAGGAAAAACTGCTCTCCAAACTTGATATGGACATGGACAAATAAATTCCCGGAGTTTACCGTGAAAAATCACTACTATTTATTGTTAAATAAAACCAAAGAGATTCAACAAATAATACACGATGTGCCATCTGTCAAACTCAGCTGACGATGATCGCGCGGAGGAATGCAAACCCACGATTCTGCATTAGTCACCCCCACAATATCCCATTATTTTCAATATCATCTCACCTGCCAAAGTGGACGTCCAGGCATGATGACTTCACCAATTAAGTCTCGGTACACAACAAGAAGTGATATCCCTCGACTTGAAGAGACTTGAAAAATTTGACCGATGAGTTCGTTAGCGCAAGCACACAAAAAGATTGTGGGGCTGCGGTGGCCGATGCCGAGATATATATCCGTGACATGCATTTGGGGGTGTTGGTGTGAACATATCGTGGGCGGGCTTCTATATATGGATCCCTTACTCACCGGCATCACCACTAATGCAAAAGTCTACTGGACCTCACGTACGTGATGAAAATTTTCCCTATCGAAATTACTGACCCCCACGCCTCACCCCTCACGGACTTTCGAGTCATCGCTGTCGTATTTGCATCTTCAAGTGCATCCGAACGCAAATAATCCACCGGCCAAAAGAAACAGGATAAGAATTCCGAAAAATTAAAAGTATAAAGAAGTGTGTCAACGAGGGGTTTAGCAGTAATCGACACAGGAAAAATAATCATTCCATTTCATTATAGAACAAATAAACGCAGCTTTCATCACACGTAAAATTCACTTTTATAGTGAACGTGAAGGAAAAAACATTGAAATATTCAATGAAAAGTCTAATGTCGTCGGAAAAAATTGCGGAATTTATTTGACGAATATATTCGTGTTGGTGTGAACACATCGTGGGCGAACTTCTATATATATGGATCCCTTACTCACCGGCATCACCACTAATGCAAAAGTCTACCGGACCACACGTACGTGATGAAAATTTTCCCTATCGAAATTACTGACCCCCACGCCTCACCCCTCACGGACTTTCGAGTCATCGCTGTCGTATTTGCATCCTCAAGTGCATCCGAACGTAAATAATCCACCGGCCAAAAGAAACAGCATAAGAATTCCGAAAAATTAAAAGTAAAGAAGTGTGTCAATGAGGGTTTTACCACTAACTGACACAGAATAATCCATCATCTCTTTGTATTGTAGGACAACTGCACTGGGGAAAAAAATTACTTTTGCCAAGCAATTATTTTCTTGAGAGAAGAATTTATTTTCTTGGAAGCGTATTTCTCCAAGCCGGTCAATTACAATCGTGTTGAATTATCAGATGATTAGGTATGCTACATATGACATTGAATGAACTCCAGTGACAATTATTAACATTTTAAATTATTAACTTCCCGACCCGAAGGGAGGAAGTTATTGTAATGACCCCGAAAATCGATTGTGGAAATTTAAGCATTTCTCCACGTTTCATGACCTTTGGAACCACTTCTGACCCTTTTCAGGTACCTGTCTGTATGTGTGGATGTGTGTATGTGTGTGCGTACGTCGGTGACAAAAATTTTGTGCCACGATTCCTCCTGAACAAACGATGCGATTTGACTTTTTTTTTAATCGCTGTATTTTCATGTGACTTGAACCTGATTAGATTATGGAGACGATCGTCTCAGCGTTTCTCCAGTTTTTTCCAAAAAACATTTGGAAAAAAGTCGAAAATTAGCGTTTTTTTGTAAACGAGACCATTTCTCCGTTCATAACGATACGATTTCAAGTTTTTTTTTGTTAGAAACGATGAATCTTGATATAACGCACAAATCATGGAATACTGGAAGACATTTAATCAGCAGTTCACTAGCTTTTTTCGAAATCAATATACATTCAAGAAACAATTTTCAAGAAACAATTTCTTTTCTCGATGCGGAATACGGCGATGTGTGTGCATGGGAGTGTGTGTGAGTGCGAGCACGCGCACGGATTTTCTTGTCTTCTATGGGTATTTCCTCGGAGAAATGTGAGAAAAAGATTGAATAAATACATAATAAAAAAATTAATGAAAGAAAAAACAAATGGTCGGGAAGTTATTGGTGCGACCCGTAATGGGTCACATCCAATTCCACCAACCCCTACCGGTCATATCCTAAAGAGGGAGCGCGCGAAGCGCGCGACCGGGCCTGATTTTTCAAAATTATTTTACGTAAGGAAATTTCAAATGTGAAAAAAATGAAAAAATAATGAAGAGTGTTTATTTAAGATCATATCAGTAGCGAAGAGGTAAAACGGCAGAAGTCAATTTTAACCATTAACCAGTTTTCAATGAATATCTCGGAATGTAAGGAAGAGAGCAAAATTGTTGTTATAACCTTTTTTGTAGAGCCGATTGAGTGTTACAACAAATGTAATTACGAAAATTACGCTATCTCCCTTAGATTCGGAAATATTCCTCAAAAACTCAACTGGGAGATAAGTCGATTTGAACCGTTTTACCACTTCGTTACTGATATGTAGCATAATCTTCTCATAATTCAAAATATTTGTAATATTTGGAGAATTTTATCTGCAAACTCCGTGCGTAAAATATACATAAACCCTCAGGACTGAAGCTATACAAACACACAATTACGGCTATAACCTTGTAAATATTGTTACTTGTTGCATCTATTACTTATGTTAATAAAATTCGTTGAAATTGAAAAAAAATATGATACTGGTCAGGAGGAGGCGGTTCTCGGTGCGCGAGGCGTGCAAAAACGTGCTCATTTGCGTACTTGTATCATCAGAGTGGTTTTCGACGTGCGCTACCCTCTCACGGCAGTGTCACCAGATCGTGACGTCACTCCATTTAAAATTGTACAAGGTTTCGGCTATAAATCGCTAAAATCTCGCCAAAACCCTGTCCCACGGGTCAGCGAACACTTTTCCCACGCGAAGTATTGTTTTGCGTGCGTAAAATGTCCCTTTACCCACCGCTTGCTGGAACACCCCATGTATTATACCCCCTGCTTCATTCCGTTCCTTTTTTATCGATTAATTATGCAGATTATTCTACATTTCAAATCCTCCAATTGATGAGTTGTCCATGTGATAATTTTCAGTGATGAATTGACCCCTAACATCTCAATCGTGTTTTGAATAGACATACAACCGCCATCGAAATGTCCCGAAATCATCCAAAAATCATCGCGTGATGTCGCCGACAATGTGCTTCACGCACAACATCATTAGGTAGCGTGGCCGAGCGGTCTAAGGCGCTGGTTTAAGGCACCAGTCTCTTCGGAGGCGTGGGTTCGAATCCCACCGCTGCCAAATTTTTTACCCCTCAATATCCCTGACTCCACACGCACCCCGCTAAATGACCATGCGCATGCTTTGTTGAAGTCACTGGACGGTTAACACACATAATTTTTCCATACTCGCGACTCACCGCGATCCAATGGGTTGCGTCGGCACGCGGCGCCGTGGTTCACACCTAACAGGAGACCATCACCCTATGGGAAGTGTGAACCGCCAGTCGATGACCCATTGCTACTCTCCTCGAGTTTAATGCCCACAAATGCTGTAATTCATTGAGAATAGGTGCATTTCAAGAATTGAAATCCACAGGACATGAATCAGTACTTCCTGAAAGCAGAAGCTCGCAGCGCTATCGATTACCGCGTTGACAACATACCAAGAGCCGTAACCCCATAATTATCGGCAACTTCTGCCAACTCATGCGTTCCTGTCTACAATGCCGTTCTCAGGGGCTCGAGTCAGTTTACCCAATGCCATTGGTCGCACGGTTTTTGTTTGGGTGCGTGCGCTGGCCAGACAGGGAGGGGAACCCCCTGGAGCCGAGCAGAATGGATGGGCGTAAAGGAACGAAAGAGAAATGAAAAAAAAGGAGAGCCGAAACGTTCCAGTTACACTCCAGACTAGCCTGTTGCCCTGATAGAGATTTCATTCTGAAGATGCCACCCTGGACCACGCCCCTGAATGTTATACATTCCAAAGGGCTCCAGGGTTATTCTGAATCATTAGATGACGTCTAATTTCAACCGAGGGGAATATTGGAGGCATCAGAATGAGCGAGGGGTAGGAGTAGTCCCCCTGGAGGACGGACTGTATCAGCATTTCTACGGGGATCTGATGCTGCAAATTAGACTAATTAGACAAGCTGGCTGTCACTCCAATGGCCAGGCCGAGCCGAGCATCAAGACTCCGTGGCGCAACGGTAGCGCGTCTGACTCCAGATCAGAAGGTTGCGTGTTCAAATCACGTCGGGGTCAAGTTGTTTTGCGTTTTTTGTTGATTTTAGACATCCTCAGCAGCCCTTACGAGGGCCCTCCAGCTGAATTATCCACTGCCTAGATAATTATCGTGATTGAAGACACCCAGACCTCATGGATTCAGACATACCTCACACGTACGATCGTCGTATAGCCCCTGTACCGTTTCGAAAACGTCGAGTGGTGCGTGCTCACATCCCGCATACGTTCCGTCGCGCATCAGGAGAGCATGCCCCCGCAAGAGGTAGACCACTTCTCTTACAGTGGAACGACATTCGCGCGGATTGTCTCATTTAGCCCCTCCTCGGACCAGGAGATCATGAAACCACAGACTTCAAATTTCTTACTCACAATCGCAAACGGCGCTAATAAATCCACACCATCTAAATAGGGATAAATACAGTGGCTAAATTACAACGAGAATATCGTCCGTTCATACATTAGTAAGACAAACATATGGTAAATTCTCGCGGTTAGAAGGCGGAATGGACATAATCAACAAATCAACCGACCTGATACCAGGCGCGCATGAAATGGAATTAGTAGGCGTGAACCGGCTGCGTCCGGGCCGTTGATTATAGACATAACTGCTATACCTCCTGCTGTGTTCTAATCGCCGCGGATCGGAAAGACACAATTTTGAGGAACAGCCGCATGGGCCCTAAGCACCTCTGTGACGTTGTGACGCCTTATTGGCTATCTACGAACCCTTTCATTACCCATTGGTCCACAGCAAATCACTTGGCCCGGGAATTTCGGTAGGACCAGTCATACTTTGTCCAATCTACATTGCTTGGTGCAGTGTACAGGCCATTTTGTGGTCAATTGACCGGCGATTTTCTCGATACAACGCGAGAATGATATTCACTGACGCATTGAAACACAGCGCAAAGTGCAATGACACTGTTTTCCCCCAAATTTAAGCGGTCAATACTGCATTGCAGAAGTGAATTGACCATGCAGCATCATGAATCCACCGCATATTATTGAGAATGCATCGAATAACTGCTGAAAAACGTCGACATTGTGAACCCGATGCACCGTCAAGTGTGCGGGTTCACTTGTCCCACGATTTCCCCAAAATTTTTTCGCTGCATCAACTGACCCCCCCACCCCTTTCAACATGTTGCAGTGTCGTTGACACGACCGCGGCTTCCGTCGGTTGCGTCACAACGCGTGAGCGGTCGACAGCATGCGTTCCTGTTGAAAAAATTCCTCACGGGCGAAAGTCAAGGTATGACGAAATAACGCAGTACTCACTTGAACATCGCAGAGGCCTCTTCTGCGCAAGACAGCGCGGTGTTGAACCGAACGCTACTGGTACTATTGTTGATAAGTATGGTCTCCTGATTGGAGGAGGGGCTCAGTGAGACAACCCGCGCGAAACTCAGCTCAACGTGGGGAGAGCGTCTCAGAATCGCGATGAGACATGCTATCCTGATAGCAAGGGGCTCGTATGCGGGATGTGAGCACGCACTGTTCAACTACTTCTAGATTTTGTACGGAGATCTAGGTATTTACCACTTGAATCGTGTATCTGAGATCATTGGCATTCAGGGACGGGGGTGATCGGCATGCTGAGGGGGTCATCAGGCAAGCCTTCCGTGCTGGAAGTCACTGACAAAATTCTGTATAGCTGGAAATCGTAGAAAGTAGGATGTGTTCCTATTTGCGGACTCGAAAGGGTGGTTTGACGCTAGTTTCCACAAGAGCAAGAATCACAAGTTGCTGGTGAACAAAGGACAAGTGTTTTAGATTTCTGTATGGCGGTTCAGATTGTAACAGGAGACAATAACATGATGGCACGTCAGGGGGCCTCTTGGAGTGCTGTTTTCAGCTCAACAACAATAAGGACTCCGTGGCGCAACGGTAGCGCGTCTGACTCCAGATCAGAAGGTTGCGTGTTCAAATCACGTCGGGGTCAAGAAATTATATTTTTGTTTCATTTTTGCCGTTATTTAAAATGTTATCAATGAACTAGGGAGGGACTTCAGAGATTATGTATTTTATTTTTTTTAAGTGAACATTTGAAGGAAGTTTCGCGTTTTCGTGAACGAAGAACACATTTGCGTCATTATTATCAAACTTTTTTCATTTTATTGAAAAATAGTGATAGAAAGGGGAATAAAATAAGAGCGTAACGAGGGTATTGAGGAATTTTAAAAACTTCAATTTCCACTTAGATACAATTACCCACAATTATGTTAACATCACGATTTAACGTGAAGGGTGAACTTGGCGATTTCTCGCGAAGATCACCGACATTTGGAAATGACCCATATGATTGTGGTTTCCACCGTCTCCCTCCTTGAGACACGTTTAAACTTCAATTTCAACTTACAACTGGAGTTTTAAGGCAGAAACAACAAATACACTAATACGTGGGAAAACTTGAGTCCGTGAATGGGTCATAGTCAACTCGAGATCTCAAGGGATTTTTCAATGGAGGCCGCCATAGCAGTTCGGCTTCCTTCCCTCTATTCTTCATGGCACATTTTTTTTGTCGCTAATGCAACTTTTTTCCATATAAAGAAATAAAATGGAAACAATGATAATCCTTAAAAACGGAAGTTCCTACATAAATGCCTTTGCACTATTCGTAGAAAGACATTGATATGTTGTGACTATAGCATTAAATGATTAAATAATGTTGCGGATGAATTTTTGAATTTTTTTTTCATCACTTCGAGGTTCGCGATTCATTTCTTTACACATCTTCGCCAAAATTTCTCAATGTAACTATTTTTATTTATTTTTGGTTCCATATGTATACCCTCTCGGGTTTTTACATTTTGTTCCCTTCCCTATCTGCGTTACCATGGGCCGACTTGCTTTATCCCAAACTCCACCTCATTCATTCGGGATTGGACTGCCAGGGAAACCATGGAAAACCTCAGTTATGCAGCCGGCCGATAATGCAGGGATTCCACTGTGTCCATTGGTCACACTGACTCAATGGACACAGTGCTTCTCTACATTCGTGCCTAGCAACTGTAGTCCCACGCAGTTAGGTGTGCCTAAGCGGACACCCACCCAAGTACTGGGCAGAGTGAACGCTGCTTAGCTTGGATGACCGTCGGAGCCACACACTCCCCGCGTGACCACTACAGTCACATCCTCAATATAACTATTTAAGGATCGTTTTTTTAGTAAAAATTTGTTTATGTTCTGCTATAAGAACCTGTGAATAAGAGAAACAAAATAAATTGTGTTGCAATAAAAAAAAGGAAGAAACCTCGTCTGGAGCGTTTTCTATCGCGTGGCGTAGTTGAGAATCTCGACATGAGTTTTTAGTGGGGGCAACCACAACGAGGCGCCGTGGCTTAGTTGGTTAAAGCGCCTGTCTAGTAAACAGGAGATCGGGGGTTCGAATCCCCCCGGGGCCTACATTCCTCCGGAATGTTAATTTTTTCTTTTTTAACGCAAATATTACGGAAGGTTAGAAGGTTAAATGATGAAGGCGGTGAGAATTGCAACGATTTGGGGGCAATATGAGGTTGCGCCGAGCTGCATAAGCACGATACTCATCCACTAATAGATACTGATTGCAAGAATCAACGCATTAATCTATAATAGAAAAATGCACTGGTATTTAAAATATAAAAAAACCTTTTTTTACGGTAACGATTATTTTCAAGATTAGATCTGTATTCATTTTTTTATACATAAATGTCAAAATTGTCGAAAAAAGTGGCCAAAGTTTACACATTTTATATAATGTACATGGATTTTCTTTATCCTAGTTTTTAAGGTTTGTAAATATTGTCAATAATGACTGTTTTTTTTTTCAATTTAAAAAAAAAAGATATTCATCTACTGTCACCATCGCCATTAATAAATCTCATTTTAAAATTATTGTTCCCAGCGTTGGGGGTACTCAGGATTATTGTAGGTTTCAGTACGAGTCTGTACATCTGTACGAGTGAATTTTTGAAGATAAAGCAATGTAGGGAATGTCGATAACTTCTGAAAATTAATTCACGAATCTAATCATCTGAAACTAATACCCTCTTCTGCAGTGAAAAATCCGACAGAACATGTCTAATAGTGAACCTCTCCTCCAAAACCATCGAGACCTTTTCAGGAGTAGTAACACCCGATGATAAATGACGCACACTAAATTCAGAACTTTGTTCAGACGGATGCGAGCCTTCAACACTTGTACTTTTCGCCGGTCTCACCTCGGGAATAAAATTGGAATTCGATGCTTGCGATGCCAAATCATGCGATGAAATCACAGACTCGTTGACGTAAACTCCTCGTTCCCACTGTAACCGGTTTACCCTGTCAGCACGCTGTCTAAATTTCTCCCGCAACTCCACAAACTCTCGTTCAGGAAGTACCTCTGGGTCGACAACATCATTCCCGAATCGCTTCTTTATCACTTTCTCTCCAAATCGCTTCCCCACAAACTTCATGATCGGATTTCTCACGCGTTTCGTCTTCTTGATCGGCGCCTCCTGAATATTCTCTTCAGCAATTCTCTCGAGAATCCAATCATCCATTATTTCCTCGAGCTGGGTGGGGGTGACATCAAGGAGATGCCAGGGACCGATTCGCTCTCCTCCCTGAATCCCTTCAGCCAAAGTAACGGATTTATGGACCTCGTCCGTCGACGACAATGGCCTCAGGCTGTTGATTCTAAATGACGCAACGGACTTCCTCACAATCGGATACAACTCGAAGTCCTCCTCAATCCTTGAGTCCCTCCTAACCCTCGCGACAAGATCCGCATACCTCTTCTTCTTGGAGACCCTCTCGTACCGCTCCTCCAGCATCTCTTCCTCCTCCGCACTCACCCCCATTCTATTTACGTCATGCTTTCTCTAAAATATCTCAACTATACTCATGTGCACTCAGAATTTTCACACATCTTATCTCAAATTTCCCCCAAACAAAGGCTCCCGAAAAAGACAAAAAAGTATCGGCGAGGATGGGATTATTCTAGAGTCTAGAATAAGTGAAATCTCTTGAATCAATATCGTCGATAGGAATTTTATAATTACTTTTATGTCTGCTAATATGGTATAAGACCGGTTTGTTCAGTTCATCTTGAAATAAACTTATCTTATCATAATGCGTGAAATATTGTGGTTTAATGTTGCCATAACAAGCTGTGCCGACTGACTCTTCAATTGGGAATTCTGCCAGGGCGTTAATTATATCATTTGGAAAATTTTTTTGATTCTATTGTAGTAATTTGTTGTAAGTCCAAGTACTAAGTTGACGATTCTTGGAATTTTAGCCCTATCGTATAAAACTTTGTTACTTTCTCTGTCGGAAATTTGAGTGGGTAGATCTATACAAAAATAAAGCAGATTTTCTTTCAAATATTCTCCATATTTCCGCCCATGTTCCCAGATTCCATAAAACGTGGGAACCGTAGAATACAATAGAATACAATAGAATATAACTCGAAATCCTCCTCCTATCGCTCTCCACCAGATCCACACTTTTTTGTTGGAGACCCTCTAATGCCTTGCCTCCGCACCCACCCTCCCGCCAAATCATTCACATCTTACGTCCTCCGAAAATACCTCAACCACGAGAATTTTGACACATCCTAAATTACCCCTAAACAAAGCCTCCCGAAAAAGACAAAAAAGTATCGACGAGGATGGGATTCGAACCCACGCGTGCAGAGCACATTGGATTAGCAGTCCAACGCCTTAACCACTCGGCCACCTCGTCACTTGAAATCTACGACATTGGTTGTACATTGAAAAAGATGAGACAGTATTTCTCAATCATATATGTCTAATAAGACAACGAATAATCTCCAAAAAACATTTATCGCATCTGTCATCATCTCCACATTAATGACCCTTCATAACAAGTCTTATCAGTTTGAAATTACCAAACATCGGTCACCTCTCAGGGGCCTCGGGGGCATTATTTTGAGGTTAACATGGACTCGTATTTATCGTCTTATCGAATCATAACAAGTTTTTAGATAGTTTCCTCCTGAGAAATCCGTCATTCACTCGTAGATACGGGAACTATCGAGTGTTACGGACCGATAACCTTACGGAGAAATCGTTTACGTAAACCTGACAAGCCTTTTTTGTCATCAATCTTGATCATAAACTCCTTAATCATAGTGTGTGCACTATTTTTCTGAAGTTCTTTGAATTCATTGTTATCGAATTTCTCGAGCGGGTCATTTGGCCCCTCGTTTGTGAGCCCCTAATTAAGTAGTTACACAACTAGACCTTCTTCTTCTTCTATTCCCAGTGGCTTTATCCTCTCTCTTCTGCAGAGGTAAGCCCCGAACACAACCAGACCTGTCGGATCATCGAAGTATGATTAGCCGAGAATGGAACACGTACTTCGTCCGAGCTACGCAGAAACATACGACGAGGAGACAGTTCTTTGGCTGAAGAAGGAATTCGCGAGGGTTGATGGGGAATTCTACTTGGACCATGCTGGGGCGACTTTGTATGCCGACAGCCAGATTAGGAGGATCGCGGAGGATTTGGCGGGTTCGTTGTACGCGAATCCACATTCCGCTGCTGGAAATTTGACTTCCGAAATTGTGGAGCGAACGCGGTATAGGTATGGATTTTTTTAAGGTTCTCAAGCACTTGATAAGAAGAACAGTTTCGTAGGAAAACAACGCTTTATCTAAAATATTCTCACACACGAAAAAAAAAACGCGGAAAAACCTAACGAATTCGATAGAAAATTCTATCGGATTTCTGTTGACGTTGAAGATTTCCACAGCTTTACTGCGAGTTTTTTTAGTAGACAATCATTTTATAGAAAAAATCAGTAGAATATATCTTCGAAATAAATTTTCCAAGTTTTCTCTAGTCTTTTTTCTTTTCGTGTCATAAAAAAAAATCACACCAAAAACTTGAAGAATTCGAGCCATTGAATTTCTGTAGGAAATATACCAATAGAATTTGTTGTATTAAAAAATCGAATTCCATTGATTTTTTTCTGCAGAATATTTTTCAAGAGAATCACCCTAAAAACTTGTCGTAAAAATGAATAGAAAAATCAATTGAAATCCAGTAGACCTAATGATCCAAAAAACTTGAAAAATTCATATCCAAGCATTCGTATAGAAAAAAAATTTCAATAGAATAAATTGAGAATAAATCAACATCTATCGACTTTTCTAAAAGTCAAATAGAATTTCAATAGATCTTCGATAGAATTCATATAAACTTCCAAATAAAAAATTCAACAGAATTTTTTAGGCGAAACCATAAAGTTTTTCATGACATTATATTTTCTAAAAAAATAAACTTTCACAATCGTTCGAAAAACATCACTATCCACCCAAAAATCTCTGCATTCACCTTCCCATGATGAAATGAGTTCACTCCACATCAATTGCCTTCACTATTATGCAACCGCCTGCACGCACGAAAAAGTTTAATAGAAAAACCTAGAAAATTCGCTCGGAAAATTCTATTGCATTTCTATTGAAAATGTTCAATAGAAAGTATTGTATAGAAAAATCAATAGATTTCGATTTTTCTGTACAACTTATTGCATTGAGTTATTTTTTATAGAATTCTTTCGACTCATCAACTTTTCTAAGTTTTTTTCATTCTATATTCCTTTTCTTTTTATCAAGAAAAAAATTAGAGCCGAGAAAATTCTATAGAAAATATCCCATTAAATAAGTTGCATAGAAAAATTGTATTGACTTTTTCTATAAAATCTTTTCTATTGCACATTTCAATGGAAACGCCAAAACTAATAGAAGGTTCAATAGAAGTCCAACAGCGTCTAGTGAATTCTCCAGGTTTTTCTATGAAATTCTTCATACGCGTGGTCAAACCTTTCGATTCAAATTCCTCGTTTTGCCTCGCATTGTCAGAATTTTGGACTTCTTCAACGCATCCTCCGAGGAATACAGCCTGATCTTCACCTCAGGTGCCACCGCCTCCCTGAAAACCGTCGCAGAAACCTTCAATTTCGGCGAGTCAGGGCATTTCGTGTACCTCGATAACAACCACACATCCGTCCTTGGAATGCGCGACGTCGTAGTTAATAACGGAGGACAACTCAAGTGCCTAGAATTCCACGAGGCTTTCGCGACATTCCATAATGACAGAGGCATTTCAGACGTCACGAAGAGCAGAAGCAATGCACTGTTCGTTTACCCCGCCCAATGCAATTTTTCTGGCCTCAAATATCCTCTCAAGTGGATCCAGGACACTCACGATGGGGCACTTAATTCTGTTACTGAAGGACTATCGAAGTGGTATGTTCTGCTCGATGCAGCCGGCTTCGTCGGAACTAGTGTTCTGGATCTATCGGTCCACAAACCAGATTTCGTTGTTATGTCCTTCTACAAGATGTTTGGGTTACCAACTGGGATTGGTGCGCTTATTGTGAAAAATTCGAGCGAGAATGTTATGGAGAAAGTCTATTATGGAGGTGGAACTGTTAATGTGGCGCTCAGTAACGAGAATTTTCATGTTAAACGGGAAAATCTGCATGAGAGGTACAGTGTAGACTAATCTATATCATGATAATCTACACATACTCATGATTTGAAATATTATTCATTCGAAGACCTTACAATCATTTCGAGTCAAATCCTATCCTCTTTTGGATTTTCCGTCTGGGTTTTCGAAGAGAATACGGGTTAAGGGCCTCAGATAACCAGAGCTGGGCACTATTTTATGAAAATCAAATAGAATTGCTATTCCAAATGATTCAGTACGAAATACTATTTGAAATATATATTTCAAGTTGACTATTTCGGTCAATTTGATTTTTCATTTCAACGAAACAGAAAATGAAATAGTATTTTTTTTAATTTATTATTTATAGTGATGGAACTCTTATGCCGAGTTCTTTACACTGTCGTTATAAAACATACATATTTACACAACTTTATTTATACATATTTATACTTTAGTTTGCATTCTTTGAGGTATTTACAGATTTCTTCGATATATTTGTGGTCTGCTCCATCTGAGAATTTTTTTGTGGTATTGGGAGTAGAGCAACTAGATTTTATCAGTCTGTCTAACAATGTGATTCTCTGACGCTCAAATTTTGGGCATTGCCGTAATACGTGTTCGAAGTCTTGGTTTTCTGCTCCACATGAGCGAAATAGTATTTACTATTTTATTTCACTATTTCACTACTTGGTTTTATATGAAATAGTTTTTTTTCCCTACGGATATTTCCCTTCCCTATCCGTTATCAGCTATCGTAATCGCAATGAATTACGAAGAATTGGCTCACAGGGCGGATTATCGCCGTCCAGGACTTTATATAGCGTTTCACATCTTGTGATATCACAGGATATTGTTGGATAGAATTTTGGAGTAGGTAGGAGGACATTACATGAAAAATTCATACTCATCATATGACAATGATCATGTTTGTTACGTATTTCACATCTTGAAAAATTGTTGTTTCTAATGATTGTTTCTTAATTGTTGTTTTGCTTTCAATTTCTCCTCGAGGAGAGAAAAAGTTTTCAGTACCTAATAAAAAAAATCAAGCCAATTCGATGAATTATTTCAAATAGTATGTTCCATCATCGAATTATTTAAATACTATTCCAAATTTACCATATTTCATCAATTGAAAATAGAAATTATTTTCAAATAGTATTTATTTGAGTCCAACTATTTGAATACTATTTTATTTGCGATGTTCAGTAACTGCAAATTAGTAATAAGTCATAAATATTTAAAATAGTATTTCAAATGGTATTTTGCCCAGCTCTGCAGATAACTGGAACCTCAGAATTTTTGTTTCTGATATTTTCACTGCTCTTAGCCTCTCACGTACGGGGTCGATGCTATACATCGACCCATGAAAATATGAATGGGCCTCTTTAAAATTGATTATTTTCAAAACTATGGAATTTAACTCAACCAAATAAATAACAATGAAAAAAGGAATGTTGTAGCCTCAATTGCCTATCGGTTTCATAATTTTCTGTTGATCAGAAGTCATTACATTTTACTTGTATGGAGCGTACTCTACGCTTGGAAACGAAAGGGCCCCGTCTGTGAGGGGTTAACAGGTTTATTTGATTGTCGAGACGACAACTCTATCCGACTTCCCCAATGATCGATTCTTCTAATTTCCAGGTATGAAGACGGAACATTGTCATTCCTCTCGATAATCTCCCTCCAACACGGCCTGGATGTCTTCAAAAAAATTCCCCTCCGCCAGATATCGAATCACGTGTTCCAGCTCGCCAAGTACCTGCACCACTCCCTCTTGACACTGCATCACCGCAATGGAAAGCCCCTCGCAAAGATCTACGCAGACACAGATTACGAGGACATCTCGACGCAAGGTGGAACAGTGGCCTTCAATATCTTGAGAATGAGTGGTGGGTACGTGGGGTACATGGAGGTCCTCCACATGGCGGCCCTCTTCAAGATCCACCTGCGCACTGGGTGCTTCTGCAACCCAGGGGGCTGTCAACGACATCTAAATCTGTCCACCCAGGATGTCCTCGGGAACTACGACGCTGGGTACAAGTGCGGGGGGAGCAAGGATCTGATCGATGGGAGACCCACTGGGGCTGTCAGAGTCTCATTCGGATACAGCTCCAGCTTCAAAGACGTCGAAATGCTGCTGTTGATGATTCGAAAATGCTTTTCGGATGGTCCTCCAGTCGTTAAGCTGCCCCAGTGGTGGGTTTCCAGTTGGAATGAACGAAATTTCAGGACAAAGGGATCAACTAAAGTTGAGGGATCGAAAGTTATGAGGAAAAATGCTCCTGTCAGGGCGAATGATACCGAAAGGATGACGAATTCAATGAGAGATTCATCAGCAAGGAATGATGGTGGGTAATACACTGAGAAAAACTAAGTTTTTTGAGACGGACGTCTTACTCATACCGAGAAACTCGTGACCTGAAAATTTTCAAGAGCAAAACATCTTGCACTAAGAAAAAAAAACTAGTCAAGAAATTTTGGACTTGTCCTACAGACGAGGGCAATTTTTTGATGACAAGAAAGCGATTTTTCATACCAAGTAAAATTGATTTAATTCATTTAATTGTTTTTTAGGCTCAATTCTAAAATATTTGAATGCAAAAACCAGTTGAATTGATTTGAGAGTTCGTTTTCAAATCGATTCATCTTTTGGACAAGTATAAAATTTCTTGGCGTGAGATTTTTTTTTCTGATTGTGAGATATTATGCGCTTGGTAATTTTTGAGCCATGAATTTCTTGATCGAAGTAAAAATGTACTTAAAGACGTACTGGTTTTATTGAATCAAAAATGACGAGTGCAATGGAAATGATAAATTTGTCACCTTAAAATGTTCAATTTATTTGAAGATCGATGATTTTCTTTTACTCAAAATTATGAAATAATTTAAATATATTAGTTCTATCTCCAAGTAATAAAATGAATAATTATACCGTTTATCGACCTTAATCAACACAAAATATGATTGGTGTTCACACTTAATACAATTCCTGAAAGCTTTAAATGACAAAATAATAAGAGAAATAATTGACTGATCAGTTATGTCAGAGGTTTAGAGACATTTCGACAATTTACTAAATTATTCCACTATTTTCGGGATCGATTGGTGCGGGATATTCGAATAACTTCACCTTATTACAGGTGATGGGAAGAATAACACGGACGGAATTAATTCCTCTCGGAAATTAGTCCTCTCCAGGCTCTACATCTACCCCATAAAGTCCTGCGGAGCTTTTGAAATTTCGGACTCCTGGGATTTAACAGAAAAAGGATTGGCCTACGATCGGGAATGGATGATAATCAACTCTTCAGGGATTTGCGTGACGCAGAAGCAGGAAGTGAGGCTCTGCCTGATAAAACCGACTTTGTGTCCTCGAAGGAATGTCTTGAGGCTGGACTATCCAGGTAGTGTTGTTAAATTATGTTTTCAGGGGTTGAACAAGCAAAAACTGCGGGAGAATTTTTTATCGTTGCAGGGATGCTGGGGGTGGAGGTGCCCCTGGAGTACTCTGAGGAGGAGGTGACGACTGGGGAGATGTGCAGGAGTAGAGTGTGTGGGCACAGGGTGCAGGGGGTTGACTGTGGGGGCGAAGTTTCAGAGTGGCTGAGTCTTGCTTTTGGAAAGGAGCTCAGGCTCATTCGACAGGGAAGGTCTGGGGCGAGGGCCGGGGGGAGGGGAGAGCTGTCGTTCTCCAGTCAGGCGCAGTTCCTGCTGGTGAATGGGGCTAGTGTTCAGTGGCTCGTGGAGAGGATTCCTGAGGGATCGGATTGTGATAAGGAGGGGGTTCTGGAGAGGTTCAGGGGGAATATGGTCATTGTCGGCGGCCAGGCGTTTGAAGAGGAAACGTGGACGCAGGTCAGAATTGGGGAGGAAGTCTTCGAGGTAAGCTAATACGAAAAAATGTCATGGAGCAAACAATGAATTGGACGGAAAATTCTACTGGTTTTCGGCCGATTAAATGTCTCACAGAAAATATTCTATTTTATGCACCAATTTTCCAAGTTTTTTTTACTTTATTTTTATTCGCTTTTTATTAAAAAATCAAACAACAATTAGTTGTATTTCCAGTGAAAATAACATGCAGATGAGCATCAGAATATTTTAATAAAATCGACCAAAAACTAATAGAAAATTCAATAGAAGTCCAATAGAATTTTTGTATTCAATTTTTTCGTGCATATGGCTTTGTATAGTTTACCAATAATCCCTTATAATCCCTTGGCCGATTATTTAGTTTTTCAATTGTAATAGTTTTGTAAATTATTTTGAAAATGGCTTCGCGAAGAAAATGTTTAGAGAAATTTATCCAAAGATGTTTCTTGGAGAGGATTCTGTGGACCTCAAAAGTCTTTCGTTTTTTCAAGAGTCGTCACTTCTGAAGTGCTAAAAAATAATGTGTGTTACGTTTTCAAATTTGAACTGTTTCTGAAATAGGTTTGATGATTCTTTTGCAAATCGCTCCTGACGGGAGGAATTAAGAAATTGATCGAAAACATTATTTTCTGAAGAATTCTACGGACGTGAGAAAACGTCTTTAGAAATTTTTTCATCTCAGCTTTTGAAACATAATATCAACAAAATTTCAAAACTGGAAATTTTTCCTAAGAAGTTTTGAAAATGATTTTGCAAAAATCTCCTCGAATACAATGTTCAGGAATAATGCATCAGTTGTGGAGATGTTTGCAATTAATAATTTACACGAATTCATGGACAAACACTTCTCTTTAATTCATCTGTAAAATATTTTCAGGTGATGGGACCCTGCACCAGATGTCAAATGGTATGTATTGATCAACAAACTGGTTTAAAAACAATCGAGCCTCTTCGACTGCTAGCCGAAGAGTTTCATGGGAAAATGAAATTTGGGATTTACCTCACGAGGAAGAATTCCACCTCTGGGAAGATAAAAATTGGGAATCACTTAACATGCATGTGATTGTTGTTACATTTTCCACTGTTGCTTGAGAATCTCTATTATATATTTTAGCTGTATATTTTACAAATTTGTTAAATCAAGTTGTTTCAATAAATCTAGGTAATCTGTTCGTTTATGACTAATGATTTATTTACAACTCTTAAGTAATTTGTACTTTACCTAGGAGATTCAACTAATTGAACAATCTATCGGTTGTTGCTTAATTACTGGTCTCACTGGCTGACCCTCAGACACTTCTTTCACTACATCTAATACTTCATTGTAAGCAGGAAAAGCCATTGTTTGTAATTTTGAATAAACTAATTTATCGTTTATTTTTACCTCAAATGAACCTGAAAAAACAATTGAATTTGATTAAATTTTTTTAATTACATAGATTAATTACATAGAAATAAACAGGGGTATTTCATGGTATTTTTTAATGTTTTTATTGGGTAATTTATTTAAAATTGTGTTAACAATTATGTTAGAAATTGATAAAACGTTCCGAATTCCAAAAAAGTCTAAACCATGATTTAAAAAACTTCTGGATTAACAAAAATGTATGAAATATCCCTATTGTTTAATTTATCTAGTGCCACCTTGTCTTCCACAATCCCCACTAATTTTACAATCGGAACAAGCATCTTTGATGATCCCAGCCAATTCCAAGAACTGTTTCCGATGACCACACGAGCCACTGAGCACAAACGAGACCATTCAATTCAAAACATTTTTTAAATAAAACCCAATTGTGAGGTTAGAAAATCATGCGACTATTTCGTCATGATTTTGATCGTTTAAGGGAGGATTTTATGGAATTTTTCACTCACCAATACTCGACATCGATTTTGATACTCGACATTGATGGTAATATTTACAATTATGAAGAAAATTCCTCAGAATTTGGAAATTTTGAGGATCTGGTGGCGGTCCAGTGAGAATGAATCAGCTAAAGCCCGCCAGTTGCGCGCGCACGTGGATTGTTGTGTTTTAAAGTCGAGGGAATTTTTGAAGTTGTGATATCGTCCGACAAGTTTCATGCGGACCGCTTACTTCGGATTTTCTTTTCGCAATTTTCCAAGTTAATTTCTGGGAGAAAAGTGTGAAAAATCTAAGATCCAATCGGTATCATGAGAGTTGCATTTTCCAATTGATGTTTTTTTAACATTTTCTTTTCACAAAGGAATATATAGAGCTTTAAAAAAAATGGAGGCTCTTTTTCTGTCAGGCGCAAGTAAAAAAATATCTCGATTTTGCTTCTATTTTAATTTGCCACTGATTTTGATATTCAATTTTTTTTGAGAATTTATTACATGCAATATCTTTAAAACTACGCAACTGTTATAATTTTTTTCAACATTCATCTCGATCCATTCAGTTAAAGAAAAAATCGGATTTGGTTTATTGACATTTTTCAAATATTTTTTCTTTAAAAAATCGAAACAATCCTTAATATATGAATATCCTGTACCAAATTACGCTAATATTCATTTAATCAATTAAAATTAATTATTTAATTCGAGGTTCAGTCATGCATTCAATCTAAACCTTCTTAATTTCTAATAATTATCATGAACTAATTAAACTGAAATTAAGTTTTAATTTGGCATTCCATTTTTCATACTTGTACTCTAAAAAAAATACTGGGGTCACACGTCACTCATGTGACTCTCCACATATATTGAGGCAATATTGTCTCTCATTGTTCTCATTTAATTGTTGACACTGCGATACTTACGTAACGACTATAAAAGTTCTGAATTTGCATTGGAATCAAAATTTTTTATCAGAGACGTCTAGAAGTCGTCTCTGATATTTGCAATCTGGAATGCCGACTGTTTCTGACCATTAATACCTTTCTTTATAAAATTACCTGACAAATAATAATGCCTACACTGAGAAAAAAAAATTTCTTCTATCTAAAACATATTTACTTGAGAGAAGTAAATTATTTTCAATGGCGTAAATCTCAGAATGTGTGCACTTCACGGAACTCGAATAAATTTTCATTCATCACTATCGTTCCGCGTTACGTCATGAATATTTTACATATTGCAATGTTGGAAGTGCATAACAAAAAAATCATGAAAACAATAAAGACTAGAAGATTGACGATTCTTCTACGCGATTTAAGTAAGTTCATTTGCGATAAAATCATACTTGAGTACAAGAATATTTTAAAGCATGAGGCCTTTCTCGGGTCATGTGAGTTGAGATGCCTGAGAGAATTAAGCAATTGAAGAAAATTTACTTGTCTCAAGAAAATATGTTCCAGATATAAGAAATTTTTTTTCTCAGTGTATCCCTAATGTTCCCTTAAATCGTTATTTCCGCGTTATGACTGCTTTCCTTATCTGTTATCGTGCATTTTCCACATTTCGATTAAAAGGTCAATGTTACCATTATCTTTAGAGCAATGCTAGAGAAACAACAAGTCACAGCATAATCATTTTTTTATTAATTGAATAGACAGACTACAAACAAAGTTCTATTACTGATCAATGACGTTTGACCTCTCATTGCACGTCGACAGTCCACTGGCGTCAACTCTGCTGCACTCGAAACCTGCAGCGCAGGGGCACAGAAATTGGTGAGCATCAGTGTATTCAAAGATTGATCCGTCAGGGAATCTGAGATAGGAACTCGCTATATCGGCCGTTGGTCTACAAACATCCCCTACTTTTCGCATGGGCTGACACGTTGGGTACGTGTACCTCTGCGATGCTGTAATTAGAGGCACCAGAAATTATTATTAAGGGGAGACGGAACCCCTTTGTCTCGATCAAATCTCCGAATTGTATTTTCCCCTACAATTATTAATTTCTATCTATGAAATTACTTTATCGAGTCGATTATCGCATTGTTGAGTCAATGAAGTAGTTTAATGAATAAAAAATAATAATTGCAGGAGAAAACAGAATTCTAAAGATTCATATAAACGTTCCGTTTCCCCTTAAGATGTGAAGAATATTTTTCTTTTTATATGAAAAAAGTTACTTGTAAGGGGTGCAGGGAACGTATTGAGCGACTTTTAATATCATGTTTAATAACATGTTAAAAAGTGGGAAAAACCATTACTACAATCGATTTTGCCCCGTGAATCAACGAAAAACGTTTTCCATTTTTGCTTTTAAAATCGCCCAAGTGCCTCGATTTTCATCCAATTAACAATTTTTTTTTCAAAATGTTCGTTAGCCTCCAAAGAACAAAGATATGCATCCGTTTTACGGTAAAACAATGAAGAAATTTTTTGCTTTCGTTTAATGCTTTCGCATTGATTAATCAATTTTTCATTTTTTTCAATTTTCTCTGGATCCGTTTGATGGTTCGTGAAATGGGTGCATACCTTTGCTGTTTAGAGAACGATGAACATTTTGAAAAAGAAAATTGTCAGTTCGATTAAAAGTGAGACACTTGGACGATTTTAAAAATCAAAAACGTCGATTTTTGCTGATTAACGGGGCACAATCGATTGTCCGTCATGTATCAAAATTCGCTCAATAAGTCACAAGCTCTCACGAAGGTTTTCAAATTTTCTCAGGGCCTCCCCTTGAATTCAGAATATCGTCTGATCGAACGGAGTTCGATGAATATTTATAATTTAAAATACATTGAGGAAATTGAAATTTGTAATTCGTCGGAAAAGTTGCACACGATTCATCTGAGTAACTTCCGAAGAAGACAAATAATTATTTCGTGTCACGGGACCTGAGAAACCTCATTTTCGTGGCGGTGCGCGCCCCGAAATTGGCGTTTTACAGGTCCCTCGACACGAAAATTACGGTTGATCTGTTTTCCAAGGCTCGGGCATGTAATGTACTATTTTATGAAATAAAAATCTGTCCATCAGTTCCATTGGAAATTTAAGCTGTAATTTCAATCTCATCAAGTTTGCGATTTTTTTATAGCAGAATAAAGCAAATGGTTTGGATGCTTAAATAAAAAAAAATCAAGTTTGCGAATAAAAAAATCGAATTGGCTAATCTCATAATTCATGATATATCTCATTATGGGTTCATACGTATAACACAGCATTCGTCACTGGAACAATCAGCTGGACTACTGCATATTCCATTAGACCTGCGTTTCACATCCTGAAGGCGGGAAGCCCAGCAGACTGTGATTACCACAAGCAACAGAATACTCTTGAACATCATGATTACACGCATCTGAAAGTACACACCGACGTTTTTGAGTTCATATCGCATTAGTCAGATCAAATTTCGAGATAACAGGATTTCGCAATTCCAAAGAAGACGAAATTCGTATTACCGCATTTTTAAATTTATTTTAAACGGAATGTACACTTGCATAACTTTTCGCAGTAAAAAATTTTAATGTCACTACGCATAAATCATTCCAATGATAAAACCCAGCGGTGGTTTTAAACAATTCTGTTAGTTCATAGGTTTTGTTTTTTTTTTCTATCAATTATTCTTTCAAGATTTTTTTATAGAAATTCTTGGAGGCAAGTTTTTCACATTTTTCTGCTTCAGATTATGAAGTCCAAGAAAAAAACTTGGAAAACTCACGCGCGACATTTCTTATGGGAAAAATAACATTTACTTAATTTTTCCTATCGAAAAGTTCTCAACTCAAATCAGCGAAAAGAAAAAAATGTATAATTCTGACATAACTCCAATAGGATTCTAGAAGAGTTACGATGGAATTTCTTACAGAAGTTTTGGTTTTAAACAATTCTATTAGAATTGGAAAATCTTGTTTTTCGTTAGAAAGAAGTCAATAGGTTTTGTTTTCTTTCTATCAATTATTCTTTCAAGATTTTTTTATAGAAATTCTTGGAGACAAGTTTTCCAACATTTTTCTGCTGTATTTTTTCAGCTTCCCATTTCAAAATCCCAGAAAAAAACTTGGAAAACCCGAACTTGCGAGAAAAACAAATAAAATTCTGATAGAACTCCAACAGAATTCTAGAAGAGTTCCAATGAAATTTCTGAGAGAAGTTTCGGGTTTTTCTATTGAACTCCTCCGTACGTAGCAAGCAGACACTTACTTATTTTCTCCAAGATGAATCTGAAGCAATCCCGACTGATGACTGATGTCGATGAGGAAATATCTGCCAGCCTTCTGATGATCTCCAAGTACCCCTGCTGGTTTTATAATAATGGCCCCCCTGTCTTATGCAATAGCTCCATAAACTAAAGCAGTGGGGTGGAGGATGTGTACAGGTGCAGTCAGGAGGTCGTGTAAATATTGGCGATAAATTTTGAGATTGTTGGGATTTAGTCTCGAGTTCATCACATGATTTTGATTAATTTACGATAAAATGATTTATCCTAAAATAAATATTAAAGGATAAAAATTCAAAAAGTGCTGAGACCGCAATGTTAACGTTTGCAAACTATGAATAACTGAAATTAAATATTAACATTTCCGCTGGATTTTTACTTTATATTCAATCATGAGTTACAAAAACGTTGATAACATATTTTATTATAAAATTACAATGGAAACTGGGATCACTGGGTGAGATATGAGGATTTAATGGGGCAAAATCAACATATTTCAGTTTTTTTCTTTTAGAAATTTTAAGATTCATTCAATTATTGATTAATTAATTTTTGGGGATAAATCAATTTGTCGTAAAATAAATATTGAACAATAAACACTGAAAAAGCGTGGAGACTGCAATATTGATGTTATTGGACGATGAATCATTAAAATTAAATATAAACATTTCCTCTGGAATTTTTACTTTATATTCTATCAGAGAGTAACAAAAATATTAATAACATCTAGTATTATAAAATCCCAATATAAAATAGGATCACCAGATGAGATATTAGGATTTAATGGGGTAAAATCAACTTTTTTAACGTCTCAAAAATTCAATGAATTCTCCATGAATTCATTTTTGAGATTAGAAAAAATCAAAAGGATGTCTTTAACTCCACTCTCCCTTATTCTCATCTACGGAGACCCTCGAGCACAAACGCCGAGCTCTCGACCACAGACGAGATTTGGCGCGCAGGGACAGTGAGCGAAGTAGATAGAGCCCTCACTCTCTGTTGGCTTTTGATCTGGAGCGCACGATTGGCCTTCTGGGGTTCGAGGGTGGCATGTTGGGACTGTATTCCTGTACGGGGCTGGAATAAAGCAAAAAAATGTTTGATTGTGATATTTTTATTCACATTTATTCAATATATTTAATTAATTTATTAATTTATTAATGCCATGTATGGCCTACTCGACCTTTTACATTACATATTTTAGATGAATATCACAGTTGCGTATTAAAAAATAGAATATAATGTAGAAACAACAACTATAAAATAATTTACGTAATATTTATTCAACAGATATATTTGACTTCTTCTGTTGGAAAATTTGCGTCCTATCTCCCCAGACAAAATCACAACAAAATAATTTGCATAAAAATTTCTGAAGTCCCCAAGGGAACAGGATTCCCTACTGAAAAAAATGAATAATTAAAGTAAACATTGAAGTAATATAAAAATTTTCAACAGAAAACACTTGCGATTTTCCCAGCGAAAAATTCCTCTGCATTAATATTCAATGAAAAAATAAAACGGGTAAAAAACTTGAAATATTAATGCCTCATCTCCATAGACAAAATCTCAACGGAATAATTTGCATAGAAATTGAAGGACACGGATGAAATAATTTAATAGAAAAACGTTAATAGAAAACCAAAGTTTTTTTCATTCTATTTTTCTTTTCTTCCCATCAAGAAAATAAAAAAAAAACTTAGGAAATTTAAGGCGAGGGAATTCGATAGAAAATATCTCAATAGAATAAGTTACATAGAAAAATCGAATTCAATTGACTTTTTCCATTGAGTATTTCAAAAGAATCGGCCAAAAACTGATAGAAAGTTCAGTAGAAATTCAATAGAATTTTCTGACGGACTCGTTCGATTTTCTACTAAATTTGTTCGTGCGTGAAATTCCCACCGGAATTCCTTATTGATTTTTCTCCACATGAAATAAAAATGTTTGTGAACAAAAGGCGTAAATAATTAAAATCGATATTGAGATAATGCAGATTACTTAAATTTTTTCGTGCGTGGACTTCCCACCGAAATTCCTTATTGACTTTTCCCCACACGAAATAAAAATGGTTGTCAACAAAATATGTAAATAATTAAAGTCTGCCTCGAGATAATGCAAATTATTTTACACGCCTCAAAAAATACATTAATAAACGATCGGAAAAAGTGAATAATCTCACAGGCAGTGCAACATTCGTCGTCCCGACAATCTTGTTGCCCGGTGCATCCAGCTATCGAGGGATTGGGCCCTGATCCATCATCGCTGAAGAATGGTGAAGCCAAGCAGCAGCCAACAACAGCAGAAACGAGCAGGATTTTCCTCAATGTCGTCATGACAGCACTGAAAACAATCGGGATGACGCGTCACATTGTTTTCAATCCCTCTTACATAATTCGCACTTACGAGGATTAAGATTCGCGTGATTTCTTCGATCTAAAGTAGAAAATTCTCGTTTGAGTTGTATCGAAAGCCCGAGGTCCGACGAGAAATGTCCGACGTTCCAGATTCTGAATCTCGTGGATTTCTGATGGTGCATCGCCGCTGCTCCTGGCTTTATAGGATAATCCGCGGATGAGCGACGCTGACAATGTATTTAATGCTGATATTACGTAAAATAATGTTTTATTTATGTTTTATTTACGTTCTACTCAAGCCGCGCGTCTACTGCGTGGCTATTCTCGTCTACTGGCATGTTTATCATCGGTTATCGCATCATTTCTTCATTCTTAATGAAAGATCAATGTTATTGGGGCACTCATAATATAATGATGAATCTGCCCTTGTAATTGTTGGAAAAATGTTTCTTGTTCTGGAGTAAACAAACGCATGAGAAATTTTAATCGAAAAACTTTTTTCTATACGTCTGAAAAATGGTATAGAAATTTTCTATACGAATCGCATATATAGAATTTCTATAGGATTTTCGTATATGATATTCGGATATTTCTAGACGGATATTTTTAGACAAATCAGTAGTGAATTGGTAAACCGGTATAAGTCGATTTTGAGTATTGCCCGGTTTTCAATGAATATCTCAAAATCTAAGGGAAATAGCAAAATTTTTGTCATAAACTTTTTTGTAGAGCAAATTGAGAGCTACAAAAAAGGAAATTACAATAATTTTGCTATTTCCCTTAGGTTCCGAGATATTTATTAAAAACTGGCCAATAGTCGAAATCGACTTATACCGGTTTACCACTTGGCTACTGAAATTACTTCTATACGATTTCGATAGGTTTGATCCTATACGAACCACTGCCATATGTATAGAAACATTTTGTATGGAGTTGTGTCATTTCTCTATACACGGAAAGAAATAATCAATAAAAATTATGTATCTTCTCCGTCATTCCGGAGCGAAATGTGGGTGTAGGAAATTTTACGGAACTGTCACGGATTTTTTCCAGAGCGTTCCGTAATTTTTATCTGAATCTCATGTGAAAAATTACGATACCGTCACTTAAATTTTCTGAGTCGATTCCCTAAACGGTGAGCGAATTGTGAGTTCCGTAATTTTTACTGAACATTTCTCTCCGGGTACGTTTTTCTCTGGAGCGTTTAGACATCTTTCGTATGAAAACAAAAATTTATGTAAAAATTTATGTATAGAAATAATTCGTATAGAAATATCCGAATATCATATAAGGAAATCCTGTAGAATTTCTATACGCAATCCATATAGAAAATTTCTATACGATTTTTTCATGCGTATCACGTATGAAAAATGCTATAGGATATCGTATAGGATTTCTTAGGATACACACCGGCAGGGGATTGGTTTTTGTACCTGTCTGAAGGTCATGGGGACTGACAGAAGTGAATTTTTACCAAACGGGTTCGGTAAAAATCATTTGCCGTTACAGAAATATTATACGAAAAATTGGAGCAATTATTCACGTTCACAGGGATAATTTTTGGTGCGATATAGGGTAAATTTTACAGTTTCGGTACAAATCACCCTCACGTTTAGTAAATTTTCCCGGGTCAACGGAGTAAAATTCACTATTAATCCCGCACTTTTTCTCTTATTTAAAGTCGACATCGAGGTTGCTCCACAATTTCCTGACTAGTTTGATCCTTTTTCTCCGTGCATTAAAGATTATACAACTTTAGTGTGTTATTTTTTGTTTACATTCAAAAACGTATCTTTTGAAGACGAATAGATTTTTTCAGTATAACTTATCGTGTTCCAGTAAAAAATCCGATGAAATTCCGAGGGTTTTTAAATGAAATTTATGCATGCATGCGCAAAAAAATATTTCGAAAAGGATTTTTTTCTTTTGATTTATTACCAAAGTCTCTTACATCTAATAAATTCGTTTAAAAAAATTAATAATATAGTGGGGAAATGGAAAAGCAGATGAACATTATGTTATACTTCATTGAGGAGAGTGTAAGGATAGTCCTCCTTTGTACCGCAGAGTCCGGTGAACCAGTTGCAGGAGAGAGATGGTGCGCAGGGGCAGAGGATCCAGTAGACATTGGCGAAAGTGTAGCCGGGCTGTACCACAGTTGAATCGATCCGCCGCGACGTTGGCACACATGGATCGCCTCTCTGTCTCAGGGAGCTGCAGTAAGGGGTGGAATATCGATGGGGATCTGCGTAAGAGACAAAAATTTAATTCATTCTTAATTGAAGTGAAGAGTATTTCGTTTAAAAAATCCTATTATTTTTCGAGTAAATATTATTCCTATTTCACAGAAAAACAATGATTTCATTTTGTTTTGTTTTTTTTTTAAATTCATGCCCCACAACAGAATGAGTTACATATGAGAATCGACATCTCGTGATTTTCTTTTATTAAAAAAAATCTGTAGAAAATACAGAGTAAAGTTAACGCAAAAATAAATTCTCTGAATTATGTCGTTCGTTTGAAATACAATTTGTTAACTATTTTCACAGGAAATGTATGTAAAACGTATGCAAACTGTTACGATATATGTATTACGTCTGTTTGTGTTTTTGTTTTTGAATATTTATGCAATGTATATGGATATTTCAACAGAGATAGGGAAGGGCACAAAATGAAAAAAATAAATAGTTATTACAGAGCGAAGTTCCATGGTTTATAAGTAGGAATCGCTGAAAAAACAATGAAATTTTTGTAGAGAATTTATAGGCTTTCTTCGAGAAATTTTTCGATTCTATTTTTTCGAAAGTATGATTCACACAATTTCTGTTTGCCGCAGAAATTTATTATTATTTTATTATTCATTATTGTTTTATTGTTCTATTATTGTTTCATTCTATTTGATTTCCAGAAATTGCGTTATTCCCTGAAAATTACATATATAAAATCAAGATAATACTCACGTGCAACACAGCACTCGTTCTTCTCACAATCGGCCGAACTCGAGCATGTCCGGACCTGTGGATGACTATTGGCACTCGATGATGTCGAACAACATTCCATGACAGCAACCAAAAGCAGGATTTTCCCCAATGCCATCATGATATTACTCGCCTGAAACAAACAATGGATGTGAGTGCGTGGGATTCCAATTTATTTCCAGCATAAAAAATCCAACGAGATGCGTCAGCCTTCTTTCAAGGAGGTCCCTCCATTCGAGAAGAAAATCAATCGATCGCAGTTTGAAGTAGCTCTACCCTTACGGTAATTTGAAAGATTATTGAAAACTGCAAAAAATTGCAGAAAACTCGAGTAGATTCGGAATTCTAATTTTTTTCTCAATTTAATTATCGTTTTGGCTTTTCAAAGAAGAAATGTTTGAAAATCAGGATTTAATGCAGTGTCTTATGTGAAAATCAACATTTCCATTGCAATCAAAGATTAAAATCTGATTTTTTTTTTCATTAGATGTGAAAAAATCAAGAATTGTTTTGACACCTCATAAAAAATAATCCACCGTTTTGCAAACAAGTTTTATTATTTATTTATAAGAGGGAAATGTTTGAAAAAATATCAATATTTTGCGAAATTTAACTTAGATAATACTGACTGGGTATGAATTTTTTCAAATTTTTTTCCATGCAATCTAGTTGCAAAATTTTAAAACTGAAAATATCCAAAAGTACAGCGTAGCCCGGCCGAAGGGTGAAGCTACTTTAAATTCTAGTTTTCATGAGGTAAAGGTCGTCCAAGTAAATCAGCAATCACTTAAGGCTGAATGATTAACTAAAATCACGTGCGAAAAAATTCAATAAGCGAATGAGTTTTATAAAACGATCTAAATGTGTTAATTTTTTTTTATCAATGCGCTTTCAAAATTTACAATCGAAATCATCAGAGAACGAATAGGATCAAGAGGAAGTGCAGTAGAATTTTTGTGCAGTTGGAATTCTAGTTTCCTAACGATATTTTCGCCCAATTAAGGCCCGGGTGTATCTTTCGAATGTTATCTGGATTTTTTTCATCTTTCGTAATCCAAAATTGTCAATTGAGTGGTACATCATGTAGAAATTCCAAAAAATTATGATAGAATGATAAAAAAAAAAATAGAAACAATTCTGAACTTTTTCAAAGAGCGTTTTTAATTGAGATTCAGAATGAGTTGAAAAAAGTGGAAATTACAAATATCTGATTCGCTGTGGCAAATTATCTATTAGCTGTCATTTTCCATGGTGGATAACAAAACACTAACTCCTCATGGGAAGTGACAGCTAGGTATCTCAATTTTCAAACCAGTGGTATGTAGCCATCTGCCATTTTTATGTGATAAAAGTGTGATTAAAAATTTTCCAAAATATTACAACTTTTTTCAAAGAGCCTTTTCCGTAATAAATGTCTCTGTGCAGTGTGGGAAAAGATTTACGAAATCAGTCTTCCCCCTGCATGATATTGGGTGACAGGTCGCTATTTGTCACCGTAAATCAGATCCATTTTTCAATTTCTTGTTATTCAACTTATTCTGAATATAAATTAAAAATGCTCTTTGAAAAAATTAAGAATTTTTTCTACTTTTTTTTGATTATTCATTCATAATGTTTCAAAACTTCTGCACGATGCAGGACTTAATTGACAATTTCAGGTGACGAAAGATGAAAAAAAACATCGAGATAACGTTCAAAAGATAGTACACCTGGGCCTTAAATCAACAATAACTCAAGGTTGAATGAGGCTGAATGATTAACTAAAATCACGTGTGAAAAAATTCAATAAGCGAATGAGTTTTGTAGAAAAATCTAAATGTGTTGAAAACAAGTAGAATCAAGAGGAACTTCAATAAAATTCTTATGGAATTTCAACATAAATTCATTAGTTTTTACAAGTGATCATTTGCTTTATTAACACTTGTTGTCAAAATCAAATTGCAATTTCGACAAAAAAATAACAGAAAAGCCTAGCGTTCTATTGAATGTTTATTGGATTTCAGAATTTCAGGCATTTATTTGTCTGAACCAAATTATAACAAATTTGCACCTCACAATCAAACAGATAAAATCTCTAGAATTCTGGGAAGTTAATGAATAATTATGAGGACTTACGTAATTCGATGGATGCAGATGTACTTATCTTAAGATGTATTTATCGTAATATCCGACGTTTATCATCCAAACTCCGGTCAATTTCTAATGACCGCCGAGTTCCTCCTACAGTTTTATAATTGCGCGCCACTACGACGCGCATTCGCAGACTGTTTACATTTTTAACCTTAATCTATCTGCAGTAACAGCTGTGCTAATAATGGAGTAGGCGGATGTAGCTTTTGCACGTGTAAAACAAAATGCTGAAAAATGTCTCGTGAGTTTATACATCATGTACAGCGGGTGTCCAGGCTCCTGCAGCCGATCAAGAGTATTCCGAAGGGCGGAGCTGTCAAGGGTGTCAATGTCTCCAGGAGCTATCAGGTGGGCTGAAAGTTGTGAGCGCATCAGGGCTGATGGAGATGCTCCATACTTCATTGATGATGTTTTGAGAGAGTTACGAGTATTCAAAGTCATTTTTAATTGATTTTTGGGAATTAAGAGGATTATTCTTTGCGGTATTTTTAGAATATCTTGGAAATGAAGGGTTTTAGAAAAAAATGTTGTTAGACTCTTTTCGTTGGAAATTCTCTCAGCTGCAAAAAAGATCTACTGATATTTTTTCATAAAACTCATTATTTCCGAGATATCAGAAGTATTCGAAATCAGTTTTGATTGATTTTTAGGAATTAAGAGGATTTTTCTGCAGTATTTTTAGAATATCTTGGAAATTACGGGTTTTAGAAGAAAATATTATTGGACCGTTTTTGTTGGAAATTTTCTCAGCTGCAAAAAAGATCTGATGATATGTTTCGCTAAAACTCGTTATTTTCTAGATATTTTCCATTGAACAAATCAATCATTCAATACTCCAATTTCATTTATGAAAAATTTGAATAGTTGCTCTATGAAATGCTATTCAAATTTAATTAAAACTCTTGAAATTCTATGAAGAATTGTATTTATTCTTAATGCCGATTTAAATTGGAAATTGATTGATATTTTCTGATAGAGAAAAGTCAACATTGAATGTTGATTATTTTACATAATTCATTCTGCTGGGATTTTTTCTATAGAAACTTTGAAAATTCTTACCTTAGAATTTTTTTTACAAAATCAAAACCCATCGACTTTTTCTATCTTATAGCTATTAAAAAATCATCCAATGAAATTCTTCACACATGTATTGTATTTGTTGAAAAATTGTATTTGTTCTTTACGTCAATCCAAATCGAAAATTAATTGATATTTTTTGAAACAGAAAAGTCAACATTGAATATTAATTTTTTTACATAATTCATTCTGTTGGGATTTTTTCTATAAAAACTTAAAAAATTCTTACCCCAGAATTTTTCTTACAAAATCAAAACCCATCGACTTTTTCTATCCAATAGCTATTCAAAAATTCTTCAATGAAATCTTCAACTGAATCATTCACTAGAATTCTTAGACTCTACTCCAACAGGAAGTCAATCGATTTCTTCAGAAAAATTGTTAGGCCTTCTATTGAATTTGTTTATCCACGTCTTGATTTGAACAATTTGAACGATCTGTATGAATTAACTCCAGCTGATGGTCGACATGGGTATAATCCGGCAATCCTGCCCCGGAATGTACACACTGCTACCACTGGGCAATCGAGCCCTCGAGAAGCTCAAGGGGATCATCAATGTCTCAATGACAAATATTGACGCGCAAGAAATTCTTCTGCCCAATTTAACCGATTCGAAACTGTGGAAGCAAACTGGTCGACTGAATGAAATGGGCGACGAGTTATTTCTAGTGAAAGATAGACACAAGCACAGTTATGTATTGAGTCCTGTAGGTAATCACACGTGTTTCGTATTATTCGTCATAGAGTTAATCTACTGTAACTGATGTTATTTAATCGGCTTTAATGAGGTGTAATGAAAAAAAATGAGGGATAATCGGAAGTCGAACAGAATTTCGCAGAACAAATATTCAATTTGCTATTTAATTTTGTCGTGTGTGACATCTTTAATTCATCAGTGAATGAGTTAGCGGAATTGTTAATCAACCTCAGAAAACAATACTGGATTCCAGTGAAATTCCTCTGAGAAGCAAAGAACAAGTTCGCAGTCATTTTTACTGAAATCAAGAACCCTGGGATTTTTTTAACAAAAACCTTGAGGTTTTTAAATTCACGTCCTGGTCTCCTCAAATTATCTTCATTAATTATGGTGTGACATTACAAGTTGGGCGACCCCCTCCCTTTCTTATTTAAAAAACCGAGGGTTTTTTATTTCAGCACCACTGACATTTCAATATTATTTGACTCGATAAAGTTCACATCACTGAGTATTTGGTTTAAAATCCAGTGAAAATTTTACAAAAAAAAAATTAATTAATGTAATAAATGAATATATTAATAATGTATTAATATATTAATACATTAATATATTAATTAATATATTATTTTTTTAAATTTTTAATTTAAAAGAATGAATTTCGGGACAATCTTCAATGGATGACGTAGATTGCAAATTCTTGAGGATTCCACAAATGTTAGGGACTTTTCTGAATATTTCGTAAGTCTCCGTTCCATCTATATGAAAAATCTCAAAAAATCTGTGGACTTATCTCGTAGGAAATCCTGCAACAAATATTTCCACAGGAAAATTTCCCATTGGAAAAAAGTCACTGAAGGGCATGAAAAGACTTTGGCAATTTTTTTCTCCAGTGAAATGCTTTTCTATTTTTGTTTCCGGAAATTTTACAATGGTTTTATTATTTAAACTTTGCAGGTCTGAATTTTAATTTCGATATTGAACCGTTAGATACCATTTTAAAAGCCTGAAAAAAAAATTAGAAAGTTTACTTTTGGAGGGAGATTGATAAAATAATTTTAAAATGTCAATTTTTGAAAATTACGAGCATTTACTATAAATAATTTACAAACAATGGATTTTCCACCATAAAAATAATTTCTTCCGAATCCTAACAAATTTATTCATATTCATAATTTTACCAGAAATCAATTTCATGTCTAAAAAACAAGGTTTTAGAAAGTTTAAACAATTTCAATTATTTATTTATAAACAACGAATGTTTAAAAAGTAATTATTCTGTGCAAAATGTGATTTGAATCACGCTGAATATGTATGCTTTTTTTCCAAATTTATCTCACGCAAAAAAATAAATTAATTAACAAATTAATTCATTCAAAGAATATTCCTAGAAAATATGTTTTTCTTCCGATTGTCCCCGTATTTTTCGTAGATAATGTTTATAATATTCCCCAGCTATTGAAAAAAATTCCAACTAGCTGTACTACACAGTTTAAAAGATAATAAATAATAAACTCAAATTTTTCATTTCATGAGAAAACAGTTTTTACGATGTTCTTAAAAAAAAATCCATGGTAGATTAACAAATCCCGAATGCTGTGGTTTTTTTGTAAAATTTTATACTACAGTTCCACCGATATTCAACTCCAAAAAATTGAAATTTTGTGAAATCATTTCATATTTGATTCAAACAATTAATTAACAAATAATTTCAATAACATATGAGGATCGAAAAGCTCAATAACCTGTGAGGATGCCGTAAATTAAGCCATTGAGAATTTTCTTCGCAAATCCGCAGGGACCGTTATTGTCCTGAGATAAACTTTAATGCAATATAATCCTTCTAGACATACGAAGAGTCCATAACAAGTCTCATTGCCGACGTGAAACCCCAAAAGAGTAATTTACCCCTCTTGCTGTACCAAATATCGAATAAGTGGAGGGACGAGATGAAGCCCAGGCTGGGATTATTCCGAGGTAGAGAATTCGTCATGAAGGATCTGTACTCCTTCGACGCGTCGACTGACTCCGCTGAAAGGACTTACGAGACTGTCGCTGAAGCGTACAGGAGCATTCTGGATCACATCGGGGTGCCTTACTCAATTGTAGAAGGAGACACTGGAATCATGGGCGGAATTATCTCCCACGAGTATCATTACCTCGCTGACATTGGGGAGGACACTGTTGTGGCTTGTAATGCCTGTGATTTTCGGGTTAATTCTGTCATCTATAATGGCGAGACGTGCAAAAAGTGTGGAGGGGAGGTCACCAAAAAATCTGCAATCGAGGTAATGATAATAATTTTTTTTCATTTTTATTTAGCAAGTTTGGAGGAGCATTTCAGAGCTGAAAAACGTTTAATAAAATTTTTATTATTGTCCATTATTGAATTCATCGATGAAAATGGGTGAACAAAATGTGGGTTAATTAATGGATAAATAATTCATATTTTCCTAAAACTACTTCCTTTTAAACATCTCGCTGAACTGATGACAATTGATTATTTAGGAATTATTTAAGGAAAAAGGTTGTAATCTTCAAAAATTTGAGCTTGTCAATTTTTTCAAATCGGTTGAAAAATATTGGCTAAAGATTCAAAATGGAGAATGAAATTTAGACGTTTAGTTTAAATGATAAAATCATTGAAAAATGTACGGTAATCTAGCGGCAAATAGTGCTCGAATAAAAGCTATTTCGACGAAAAAAAAAGTGTTTACAATATTTGATTCTTTTTAATTACGAAAGGAATTCAATTATTTAATTCTACTACTTCACAATTATGTTAGAAACTGTTCCTACTGATCTTCAGTCATTGTTTATCAGAATGTCACTTCATCTAGCTGACTGTTCATGAGTTTAATTTTTCAAAACAAGAAATTTCTTCATTTTAAGGCCCGGATGTACTATCTTTCGAATGTTATCTGGATTTTTTTAATCTTTCGTAATCCAAAATTGTCAATTGAGTGGTACATCATCATGTAGAAATTCCCAAAAATTATGATAGAATGATAAACAAAATGGAAAAAATTCTGAACTTTTTCAAAGAGCGTTTTTAATTGAGATTCAGAATGAGTTGAAAAAAGTGGAAATTACAAATATCTGATTCGCTGTGGCAAATTATCTATTAGCTGTCATTTTCCATGGTGGATAACAAAACATTAATTCTTCATGGGAAGTGACAGCTAAGTATTTCAATTTTCAAAACAGTGGTATGTAGTCATCTGCCATTTTTATGTAATAAAAGTGTGATTCAAAAATTCTCCAAAATATTCCAACTTTTTTCAAAGAGCCTTTTCCGTAATAAATGTCTCTGTGCAGTGTGGGAAAAGATTTACGAAATCAGTCTTCCCCCTGCATGATATTGGGTGACAGGTCGCTATTTGTCACCGTAAATCAGATACATTTTTCAATTTCTTATTATTCAACTTATTCTGAATATAAATTAAAAATCCTCTTTGAAAAAAATAAGAATTTCTTCTACTTTTTTTTTTATTATTCATTCATAATTTTTCAAAACTTCTGCATGATGCAGGACTCAATTGACAATTTTAGATGACGAAAGATGGAAGAACACATCGAGATAACGTTCGAAAGATAGTACACCCGAGCCTTAAATGAATAAATTGTTTACTTGATATAATTAGATCTTTCCTTTTGAAACAAGTCAAAAACATCAAATAAAGATTTTTATTCGATTCAAATAAACCATTTTTCTTGCACCGAAAAACACCTTTCGCCATTTCATTCTACAATCCCTTAAATCCCTTCTCTTGATGTATAATTTTTCATGAATGTCGATTTCAGATTGCCCATACGTTTCTGCTCGGTACAAAATATTCCGAAGTCCTTCAGGCAACGGTCCACACCCAGGAAGCAGAAATCCCTCTGGTGATGGGTTGTTACGGCTTAGGATTGACTAGGCTCCTAGCAGCATCCCTGGAGGTTCTCTCGACGAATGAAGACCTCAGGTGGCCGAAGGCTCTGGCTCCCTACACAGTCTGTGTCATCCCACCGAAGGAGAACAGCAAGGAGTCCCCAGCAGCTCATTTCGCTGACGAGATAGTGGAGAATTTGGTGGAGAGGAACATCGACGTGATCTTCGACGACAGAACGCAATTGACCATTGGCAGGAGAATGCTGGACGCCAAGAGGACGGGGTATCCTTACGTTCTCGTCGTGGGGAGGTACTCCATGCAGGAGAATCCCTTGTTCGAGCTTCATGATGTCAATGAGGGGCAGAGACAGGATGTCAGTTTAGATCAGTTGTATAATTTCTTTGATAATTCAGAGTCTATGAAACAAATACGATCACAAATTGCTGCTTGAAATTGTGAATTGAGGTACAATATTTTGTTTTTAATTAAAATAATGTCATGGATTGTATTGAGATGGAAAGAGGAATAAAAATAAGTGATTTTAAGTAATTTGTGTAGATAATTGATAATTCATCATGTAGAAATTATTCAAGAGATATCTCGAGAATTAATTAATTTGAAAATGAATGCCAGGACATATTTTTACGGCTAATTTTTTCCATAATTTCATTGATAATTCAAACTCTAGGAAACAAACACCATCACAAATTTCTGTTTGACGTTGTGAATTGAGGTACAATTTTTTGTTTTATTTTTTATTTTTTTATTGGATTAAACAAAATCATGGATTACATTCAAGTGCATAGAAGAATAAAAAATAAATGATTTGAATTAATTTCTGTAGAAAATTCACTGAAACTAATAATTTAAAAACTAAAGTCTTTCGATATTTCCCTCTAGCATCAGTCGATCTCAAAATAATTGATGAATCCCAAATTACAAATTTAAAAATTTTATCCAAAATTGTTCTGGAAATATGTCTAGAACTAACGAATTTAAAATAACTGGGAGAAACTTTTACTGAAAATGTTATCATCTGAAAAAAGCATTGTAAATTAATTCAAATTGACAAATCACTTCTGAATTTTCACTTTAACTCTATGATAGGCATTGCACAGCAATCCTCTGAGATTCCAGATATTCTCAAAGCTCTCTGGCTGCACATTGTACGAGGAATCCACAGCTTTAGCCCATATCTCCACTTCCGAGGCATTTGGATCGACTGGAATTTCTCCACTCCAGAGGCTCCAGGCCCAGTGTCTTCCCTCCTTGGCCTGTGTGTCATGCTGCATGTGCTCTGCCACGTACCAGGTCTTCCCCTGGTCTGCTGTGAGGTCTACACGGATTATCTTGTTACCTCCACCTGACCAAGCATATCCTAAGAGCACAAAACAAATATTTAATGCTTGGATATTGATTTATTTATCGGGGTGGAAGGTAATCAGTCGAGCATTACATCACACCTGATTTTCTGCACATTCCATGGTTGAATAAATCTCAAGAAAGAAATTGACAACGGGCCTTTCTTCCCTGGATTACCGATGATTATTCAGAAGAGATTGAAACACTCTTGTGATTGAGTTTGCATAATGAAATAGAGTGGAAGAGTCCTGGGTGTTGATAATTAACTGGTTTTTGGGTCATGATGCATTTGAGGAAATAATATCGAAACATTTTGAGGAGAATTTTGATTACAACAAAAAGTCTTCGAAACTACTACAAAGCGCTGATGAAATAACTTAATATGTCGTAAAATATTTATAAATTTTTGTCAAGTGACAGTTCTAAGGAAATTTCCAGCAATTTTTTAGTTGAAAATTCTCAAATTGATAGAAGAATCAATGGGAACTATAAATTTCAGGCTAATTTTTTCTTCAAAATGGATAGACATCACGAAATTTTCGGAATTTCATTGATTCTTTATTGAAATTTGAAATTTCGACTAATTTCGTTATTAAAAACTCACAATTTGAAGAAAGAAATCAAAGAAAAATATCAATTTCAGCTCAATCATTGCTTAAAATTTGATAGAAATCAAGAAAATTCAGGAAATTGACCTATTTTAATTTTCAATTAATTAAAATTCAGCTAAATTAAAGGGAATTCTCATTTTTCTGTTGCTACAAAATCACCATTTCAGTGAATGTACTGTGAAGTTTAAAATTTCATAATTTTTTCCTCTAAATCGAAATAACATATTCCCGAATTCTATGAATTTTAAATTCTTTTCTAAAAAAAATTCTCTTCACCTTTAACGTCAAGTTTTCCATCCTTCACAATGAAAATTCAAGTGAAAATATACTTGAAGGCTTAATTAATTGAAACTCAAGGGAATTGGAGAATTCTCATTTTCCTGCTGCTTAAAAAATTGGAATTTCACTGGATTTCCAGAAAACCAACATCTTCAATTATCACTAAGGCAAAAAGATGTTTAGAGAGAACAGTAGGAAGCCCTTTTTACGTACAATCCAATGTCTCGATTTTTAAATACATAAAAAATATTCTGAACGAATTGTTTTGCAAGAAAATAAACTTTAAAATGCATTCACAGATTTACTGTGAAGTTGAAAATTTCATGATTTTTTCCTCTAAATCGAAATAACAAATTCCTGAATTCTATGAAATTGAAATTCTTTTTCAAAAAAAAATTCTCTTCACCTTTAACGTTAAGTTTTCCATCCTTCAACCGAACAGTTTCTCCAGGAACAATATTGCAAATAGCGGACGTCACAGGCATGTTCTGAATGGCAGGAGACTTGGAAAAATCCACAGTATCCCAATCAGTACTAGGAGAAAATCCTTTGTAATCCCCTCGTTGGAACTGGGAAGGGCTCTCCTCCTTCGCGATGATGATCCTCGCGAGCCACTTCACGTTCCTAGCCCCAACGACTCCTGGAACAATCACTCGGATGGGGAAGCCGTGGTCCCGAGGAAGGGACTGTCCGTTCATCTCGTAAGCGAGGATGACGTCTGCCTTTGGGTCCAGGGCTCTGCTGATGGGGATGCTGGCTCCATAGGGCAGCCCTGAAGGGTCCAGGTCCAGTCCCTCGAACTGCACGTGGTCCCAGTCGTCCTCATTGATCCCCAGGTCTGATAAAACGTCGCAGAGGCGAGCACCTGACCACGCGGCGTTTCCAACTGCTCCAACGTACCAACTCAATCCTCGTAATGGCTTCACCTGGAATTTTTCATGTAATTGATTCTATCTGGGCCATCTAGACGTGGATTTCATTGTTACGGGAAATTATTAATTGCGAAATTAATTTAAATATTAATTATGAAGTGATTAATATTGTTATTAAATTATGATAATAATGAATAATTAATTATTAATAATTATTATTGAATTATGATAATAATTCATTATCGTGGGATGAAATTGTGATCAGTCATTTCAATTTTTTAATTCGCAACTTAATAAGTGATGGCAAAGTTTATTGTAATTACTCACAGCATTCATTTCTGATCTTCTATTTCCCCCACACATAACAGCACTTGTTACCGTGTATTTGGGATATTTTTTTATTGATTCAAGGGTCAGAACCTTTTGGGTGTCGTCATCGATTGCAATTTCGATGTTGTAGTTTTTTATATCTACTTCAGGGACTGGTAGGTGATTTCTCACGTAGAAAAGGTCTCTGTCGAAAACCAACATTTTTCGTTATCAGTGACGCAAGAGGAGAATTCTAGAATTCAATTTCTAAATTTTTAAATATATAAAAAATATTCTGGGCGATTTTTTGCTAGATAATAAAATGTAAAATGTATTCGTATATCATTTTGAGAATATTTTCTGCGTAAAAATCCAGAGAAGGATGTTAGAAAGGTCTTCATCAGCATTTCAAATCAAAGGCTAGTTCGTTTGTTTTTTTGAATGATATATAATTCAAATGATTCCTTGAAAACCAATAGTAATCCGAAAAATTCAGAGGAAAAATATACTTGAATGTTCAATTAATTGAAGAAGAGATTTAAGAAGAACAGTAAGAAGCCCTTTGTCCCTATAATTCAACTTCTACATTTTTAAATACATAAAAAATATCCTGAACAAACTGTTTTGCAAGAAAATAAACTTTAAAATGCCGTCACAGATCCTTTTGAGAGGAATATCAAAAGATTCTTTATTAAAATTACGAACAAAAAAGACAGCATTTATTTTTCTTCATAAAAAAATTAGAATGACTCACGATGGTGTGAGGAAGCTCTCCACCATCATGGGAGCAGGTGGTTCAGCGCAAAAGGGCTTCAGCCCATTGACTTTCAAAGCCTTATGCCTCCTCGGTTCATTGCCATAGGGATCATAAACTGCCTCCCCTTTCTTCGATTTCTCCTCATCAGTCATATCGACATTCCCAATCCTCATGGACTCCAGCAGGCGATAGACCTCCGGAACCTCATGATTAGCGAAGATCACCCAGAAGGGCTCGATCGAGGCCCCAGCTGCCATCATGATCTTACCGGACCCCCCAGGATGCTGAGAAACGAATTTCGTGATGTCGTAAACTCCATCCTTGTAGTACACCCAAATTCCGTCCTTCTCATTGTCATGCTTTCCTATTTCTTCGATCGTGTAACTCTTCAGTCCCTTCTTATGCGCCCCAGGCCCTCTTTCCAATGCGTAAACTTTCCTTCTGTCTGACCATAAGTAGTAGTAAAGCCCCAGACACCCTCCGGCGATGAAGATACTCCCGAAGTATTTAGACAACTCGTGAGTGGAAAAATTCGTTTCTGACTGTTTTCTCGATTTTTGCCGCTTTTTATCTGATTTGTAATTACGCGTTGGACCGTGATCATCATTTTTTATTATTCTAAGGAGTTGTTGATGCCTGGAAAACACGAATGAATGTGTGGATTGAAATGTTTAGTTTGAATTGAAAATATTTTCCAAACATTTGTATTGCATACTCGTAAAACGGTTCGATAATAATTGTATTACAATTTTTTTCAACAGTTTGAGTATTTGTTGAAATCAATAATGTAGAAATGAATAGTAACGAAATGAGTTTTCAGATGGAGGTTTAAAATTCCATTAAGTTCGTCCTTTTCATTGTCATGTTTTCCTATTTCTTCGATCGTGTAACTCTTCAGTCCCTTCTTATGCGCCCCAGGCCCTCTTTCCAATGCGTAAACTTTCCTTCTGTCTGACCATAAGTAGTAGTAAAGCCCCAGACACCCTCCGGCGATGAAGATACTCCCGAAGTATTTAGACAACTCGTGAGTGGAAAAATTCGTTTCTGACTGTTTTCTCGATTTTTGCCGCTTTTTATCTGATTTGTAATTACGCGTTGGACCGTGATCATCATTTTTTATTATTCTAAGGAGTTGTTGATGCCTGGAAAACACGAATGAATGTGTGGATTGAAATGTTTAGTTTGAATTGAAAATATTTTCCAAACATTTGTATTGCATACTCGTAAAACGGTTCGATAATAATTGTATTACAGTTTTTTTCAATAATTCTAGTATTTGTTGAAATCAATAATATAGAAATGAATAGTAATGAAATGAGTTTTCAGATGGAGGTTTAAAATTCCATTAATGATTCTCAGGAATATCAATTGAGATTACAGTCACTATGATTGCATTTTGCTCCATAATTAGTGATCTACGATAAAATGTCATAAGATTTTTTTTGTAGAGAAATTTCTCACCAATATAAAAGTTTTTCATGTTTCCATTTTGTATTAATTAATTGCTTAGAAACTCCAACTCCTCTGCCATATACGGCCATCCAAGCGATTCTAATATGAAGTCAATTTAATAAAAATTAGAAAGATCCAAAACAAAAACCTTCCATTTTTGCCGGCGTTTCGGACCCACAAGGTGTCCTTCATCAGGACAATAATTTATTCTAAATAAACAAAATATAAAGTCACAATACAGTTCTATTGTAATAATATTGCAACTAAAACCCCAAAAATAATTGCAGAAATTGCAGAGAATACATTAAATACCTTAATAAACCATTTAGTAATAAAGTAATTGATAATTTAAATAAAGTTCAGACTGAATTGAAGAAATTCATGAATTATCACGGACGAAAAAATTTAAGGCCGTGACTATTCGCACCATTGCGTGAATCACTCCCGTATACTCCATACACTCCACGCATGCGTGAAGTTAGTGTGTTTCACGCAGCCGAATTTTCATACTGCTGTGTATTTCACGCAGTTGAAGTTTCATACTACTGTGTGTTTCACGCAGTTGAAGTTT